TATATATATATATATATATATATATATATATATATAAAATGTCGGGGTGGCAGAGAGTAAAATGTGGAATGTCTGAACGTTATTTCCCAAAATGAGAAAGTTGTGCCGTGGGGGTGTGGGTGTCTGCCTTTCCTGCACTGCAAGTTACTTGTATTTTCATGCTGTTCTTTTTTTGTATTTTTAAATCATGCAAAAATGAATGAAAAGAGTCAAATTAAGAGGGGGGGGGGGGTGATTGCGGTTTCACTTTTTCATTTTAAATAGTGTGTAATGTTGCTGTTGGTGCATGAACAGTATCTGCAAAGTTGCAGCGCTGAAAGTTCAATGTAAGCAGAGATATCGTCTTTTAAAAATCAGGAAGTATATTGCCTACAAAAACGATTCGATTGGGACTACAGCTGGGTTATGGTACGTCACTAACCCACACATTTGCATCAACCCCTCCCTCCGGAAAATTCAAAAAAGGGCATGGCCATATTTCTGCGGCTCGTCGAGTGTTGCTGTACATTTACGGAAGACAGCTTCCAGAATCTCCACGAATTCAACACCGGATTCAACAAGAAATTGTTACTAAAACATGAAGCAGTTCCAACTTCAAAACCAGAGGCAGCAGTTGTTGGGCCACAACCTGTAAGTAGGCTAAGACTTCATCATTTTAAATGTATTTGCATGTATAATTCCAGACGTAGCGTTGTGTTTTATTTTTTTTTTCAAATGCCAGCGCTGGCTTTATAGTCACTAGGCTACTAGCTATGCTATTTTGTGTCTACGACAAACGCGTATAAACATTATGGACCTGAATTTTGTATAAGTACTAATGTTTTAAACGTATTTTTCGTGTATATATGCTTTATGACGTTATTTTCGATTTGGTCAAGAATGTAAACTAATGCCAACGCTGTTTGAGTATAACATTAGTAGCCAGTCAGTTGCTATTGTGTTAAACAAACGTGTATGTAGTTAAAAAATGTAGCAATTTATCATTCAGAAACGTTTATTAATAACCGTGTGTGGTGAGGTTCTGCTTGACTCTCTTCATCGCCGCTTTCTCGGTCTGATTCTGCCTCAAACTGATACTGCAGCTCAACACCATTATTTACATGAATGGACCAGAGCACATGCACGTTTCACCTGTAAAGGTAATGGGTGTTAACCTTCTGGACAATGTGAGTGACAGTTTAGCCAATCACCACACACCAGCCCAAACTAACCAATCATTCTGAGGGAGTGGTTTCATAGAATCAGGAAGTCAACCGCTCGTTTGAGGACAGAGGAGAGCGCGGCTGACAATAAAGGTGAAGTTTATGAAAAATAAGACTTTTTAAAAAAGAAAAAACACGAATACATGTTATATTGCACCACACAAACACAATCATGCAAAGAAAAAAAAGCAGTCAACCCCCCTTTAAAGACAACTGTGGATGTCCATAGAAATATAGTTGTGTGTGTTTCTGCGTTTGCGACTGTAACATTTAATTTTACGATTGTTGTGTGAACACCACTAGCTGAGTTCATTACAGTGTGATTTTAGCATCATTGTGATACTATTAAAGTTTTCATTCTTATTTTGACTTTGTTTTTATCTAGTTTATGTTTTAATAATTTTGCTGTATTTTTGAAAATTATTTATTTTTTAAATATAGATTTTATTGATTTCTGTTTCAGTCACTAAATGAAAACAAAAAATGTTGGCAACTATAAGAGATTATGTTTTATATCATATTACATTTTATTTAACGTTAATTTTATTTAAATTGACTTTTTTTGTCTGTTTTGTTTTAGTTAACTAGAACCCAATCCCACCAGTTTCCCAGTAACCAAGCCCAAATGATTCCTGTCAATCAGACAAATCACATTTGTGAGAAATCACTTCCCTATCCTCCAGCTGGCAAAAAGTGTGCCAGTTTGATCAGTGAAAAAAGCTGGTTTACTAGTCCTCTTCTGATGCCTCATCTCACAATGTCAAATCAAATAAGCTGTTTGATAAACACCACAGAGGGTTTAATTATAGTAATGATCTCATCTCCCACATCAGCCTGCCTCTCATGGTGCGAAGCCACATCCACAGGCAGATTAAAAGCCTCCCTCCCTCTGTCTCCACTGCTCTCTCTGCCAGACACCTGCTCCATCAGCCTCTTAACATTGTAAATTCTCTGACAAATGAATATAGCTGCACTTTAAAGGAAGGACCGTGATCCTCCTGTAGAAAACACACTGAAAGAGTTGTTTTGGCCTGGGGCACAACAGGAAAGGCTTCCTTGGCAGGTACATGGGGACTTGCAAAGGATCTGCGGAAGTATTGGTTTTCCAGCCAAAGAATGACTTCTCATTAGTGACTGTGCTGTCACTGAAAACACAACAGGAAAGGGTGGTCATACTGGGACATCAGTGGAGTAAGCTAACATACTCTACCCTACCAGAGGCAAAATGATTCTCAATGAGTCTGTTTTTCAGCAACTATGGAAAATCTTTGGCAAGTTAAGGTTGCTCAATGCATAAAAGACATGAGTTAAAGACCCAAGGACCAGATATGATCAATTAATTAAGAGAGTTTGCAGTTTCATCATACAGAAGCGCCCCTCCGAGGCGCCAACATGTCGAAGAAAACAAGTCAGTCAATCTCCAATAATGCCACTTGTTCCTTAACCACACACACACACACACACACACACACACAGTTTCTTCAAGGTTGGATTTGGTCGGGCTCTAACTATAAACTGGAGACTCTTCCCAAAACATGCAGATGTTCTTTCCCTCAGTGAGAGTACACTTTAATTTAGAGCAGTGGTGTTAATGCTTTTAACTAAGACGCCCATAAATCTGTAAATGGAGAAAAGATGCTCCGGCTACTTTTACGTGTGAATGCTGTGGGACTGGCATAGGTAAGCCGTCTCAATGAGTGAGAAAGGTCAAGTGGTGTTCACTGCAGAGCCAAATGACATCCAGCTCCACCTTTCTGGATGCCATGGGTTGAGCTTGATCTAGTCAAGGTCTTCCTCTAGGTGGAGGGATTGTGTTATGGGTGGGTTAGGGTCTGGTTGGACCTTCTAGCTCCACTCATTACACCCAAATGACATCCAGATAGGAGGAGCTGGACTTCTTGCTCCACTCATGGCTCTGCAGTGAACAGCTTCTCAGAAAGGTTGACATGGAGCACGCTAAATCTCAGAACTCTCAGGAATTACCAAATAGAGAAGGTGAATGAATCACCATTGGCTTGGCTTTGCAGAGATGGTGAGTACTGAAGGGTTCTGAAATGTTGTAAAAGCGACACGGAGATTACATTTTTATCACTCAGCAGGTGAATAAGAAATCTGTTCATTTTATTGAACAGATAAATTACCATATGCTCTCTATCCGAGTTAATTGTAAAGCATTATCTATTGTGTAGGATCGATTCATCATGGGATGTTGTTGTGCCGCTGTAATTTATTTTCAAGGAAGTACTGTGTCTGTTAATGGGTATGGCTAACGTCTTAAGCCAGTCAGATTATTTCCATCTAAACTGGTTAGTCTCTTAAAGCTGCAGTCCGTAGTTTTCAATCTTTGTCGCCATCTCCGTTCAAAATCTGCAATTGCAGTTATTCACGGAATTATCAACTCTATGTGGGTTGTAGTTAGACACAACGCAGCGAGGATGAACGCAATGTTTGAGGAGAGTGTGAGGCTGTCAGTCGCCGTGTCGATGTGGATTCTGGCATTAAGAAACACAGTTTATTCTTTTTGGAAGTATGACCAACATAAGAATTTTCAGAAAATGTCATCTGAACAAGTAAGAAACATCCACTTTTGTTCTGGTTCTGAATCGTGCTGATTAAATCTAAAAATCGCTTATCACGCAAAACTGTGCAAATTTTACTTTGTTCTCAAATTGTTAATGTTAACAACGTAAGCATTGCGTGACTACATTTAATTCATTTCTGATATTATCCTTGTTTTTGCATGGGTTCGGTTGCGGTCTATTTTTTACTGTAGCCATTACGAAGTCTGAACGAAGTCTTTTGCATTTTACAGCGGGTGGGTTTCCAGTTGTCACTGGTGATTGTCGTTTGAACCTTTCTGGATCCGTCATCAAATTGATAATTTCCACATCCAACATCCTCACTCTCAATATAGCCTACTAGCCAAGACTCTTCTTTATGTGTACAGGTGTTGTGTACGGATGTGACGTAATGACACAAAGACATGCTCAAATCTCCCACGGAAATCCACCAGTACCACTAAAATGAAAAACACCATTACAAGCTTACCGCTTTGAATCGAGCTAAGGCAAGCAGAGAGTTTTGAAGCCTGGCTGGTTATGTATTTTCTCAAATACATATTTTGGATAATATCTAAACTAAAAAAAAGCAACAAACTGCAGCTTTAAACAAAGTAGTGAATGTTTTATGAGCAGTAGGATAATCTCTCTCTCTTTTCTAGTTATGATAAAGAACCATATTCATCCGTACTACAATAAAGAGCCTAAGCACAACCAAAACACCACTCCTCCCTTCTTCCTGAGCATGATGGACTTTCACTGACAATAATCGTTTATTTGGAACGCCCTGCAGCGTCAAAGAAAGGGAATGACGGCCTTTTTATTCACTTAAAAAGTTCATGATTCTGATCCAAAGTTTAGGATGTGACTTTGAAACTAATGCCTGGTTCAGATTACACGATTTTAGCCTGATTTTGCCACAATCGTTTGACGTAAGGTGTCGTGGGGATTCGTAAACGACAACGGGCGTCGAGACGCAGGATTCAATCGTATATCATCTCGTATAGTGAGTCATATAGTGGGCGACAACCTACGTTGCGTCGGCGATGCTTCACGACATCACGACAAAAAGAATTGCATGTTTAATTTTTTTAACGGTCGTCCACGGCGGTTCCGTCACATGAGGTTGACCAATAGGAGCACAGAAGCTTTTTCGTACACAACTTTCAAAAATGGCGAAACGAAAGAGGTGCTAATTTTAAAACTAAAAGTAAAAATATATAAGCAAACAATATTTTACCTCAAGTTCTCTTTGGAGGATTGACAGCCCATACGGTCCTCCTCGAGCAATCCAGGTGTTATGAGGCAGCAGACACCAGGGGATCCATACGCAGTATTTATTGAAGAATCATCAAACAGGCAGGGATCAACAACAGCAAACAGAGCAATGGAGGCAAGGCAGAGACAAACCAGATACAGGCAGAGGGTCGAGGCAGGCAGCAAGAATCAGAATCAAGAGAAACAGTCCAGGGTCAAAAACACAGGAATCAGACATGGGCGGGAAACCGCTCAGAATTGCCACTAACAGTAAAACAAGACTTTGCACTAAGTGAATGTGAAAACCATGTATTTATGGTATGAACTAAACAAGATAATGAGAAACAGGTGAATGAGATGAGAGCTGATGAGTCCGGGCAGTGAGTTATGGGAAATGTAGTTTGTGAGTGTTTACTTTCTTTTTTGTACTTTTTTCTGAACACAGGACAGCCAATACAACACTCACTGCTTCATCTGAACCAGGCATTTGCTAAGCTAAAAGCTAATCATCATACAAAAGTAGAATAAAATAGCTAATTACATTCAGACTATTTTAGAAAAATCAATGTTCACACTTTTAAAAACAGCTGAGCTATCTAGCAAAATGGGCAGATTAACGCATTTTAGCTCACATTCTCTTGGCAGTAGTTGACTTATACAGTTTACAATAATGCCGTTATACCGGCCCTTGTGGCAAAGCTGAGACTGCAAGTAGTTTTGGTACGAATTCTGTTCTGACACCTTTCAGAACGCAACGACGCGTGAAATTGAGCTTCTGTAGCTAGAAGCGTTTGCATTTATGTACTTGCGCGGAGTATGTATTTGGCCGCGTTCATTGGCGCTGACGTTGTGATTTGAAGATACCAGTGATTGCTTTTATTCGTCTGTCATCCCGGTGCACATACCTTTATCCAAAAGAGAAAAGCCTGACATCATTCAGGAGAAGGCTGGAAATGAGAGTGTCTGACAGGGAAGTTTATTTTGACGGTGACTTCTTGCCCTCAGGAGAGATAGAAGAGCAGAGAGCACTACGTTACATCAAATATCTTCATTCAGAGTCCACTGGGTGAAGAGCGAGTGAGATTTATAACAGGACTCTGTCCTCATTTCCCTCAGGATACAAGCCACTGGGATGTTTTTGTTTTTATTCTTCTTTCTTTCTTCCTTTCACCATTTCTTTCATTTTCTATGTTCTCACACGTATTGTGATGTGAAAATATTAGTGCTGGCAGAGTTGATGAATTAATTTACGAGATTAATTAAGTTCGTTAAACCTATCTAATTCTTTTAGCTAACCGTAGCCATGTTTGCTAAGGGAAGCACTACTGCACACCGTTTGTGCTACGAATATGAATGTTACCTCAAATCATGTGAGTCAGTAACTTACTTTTCAAATCATATTTGCAATTTTCACTTGCCAGATAATTCTGTCAACGATTCAATAAAATAAACACACTTCTTTTGCACATGGGTATCACTGAATTTCAAGATAGGTTATATCATTTTTTTTTTTTTTAAATTAACTTACATCACTGTGAGCCATGTATTTTTCTGCGCATAAGAGTTTCACATATTAACTTGGCAGCATGCTAATGTAAAACTGTATTGTGATCAATTGAGTAAAGTCTCTTGTGCACGTCATGTGATGAATATTATTTCTATGGAGTTGCTGCATAAAACGTGTTCTGAATCAGTCGCTTATGAGTTTAGCTTTCTCTTAGAGCCATTTAGGCAACGCACTTGGTTCTGGAACCAATCATGTAAGTATAATCTCTCAACTTCAATATCTCCGGCAGAAAGCACACAAATTGATTAGTGACTTATATTGCGTTTCTGTGCCATTTTGCTGCTCCTAATGTTTATAAACTCCTTAAAGAGGACAATTTTCATCTCCGAACATCTGCTAGCTGGCACAAAAGTAGGGCATATGGAAAGCATTTCCTCTTTAACATTACACTAAATTATGACAGCTTCCATGTGGAACCAGCAATAGGCAGAATTAAAGTGCTATTCTGTGTCTTTCATGACAATAAATGCTTTCCGTTTTGTCAGGAATGACATAGAAGTAATGTTTAATCAGAAACTTCACTTCACGCCTGCTGTTTGAACTTCGGTACTTGTTTTGAAAAAGCTCAAGGCATCTTCTCAGGGAAATCTTGGTGAGGGTGATTTTTTTCTTTTTTTAGTGTGTAATGTTGTTTGAACATGAAAAAGTTCTGCAAAGTTATAAAGCACAAAGTCACTCAAAAATGAGTTTTCACAAAAAGGAGAGTTCACTTTAAAAAAACATTTGCTGATAATTTACTCACCCCCATGTCATCCAAGATGTCCATGTCTTTTTTTCTTCAGTCGAAAAGAAATTAAGGTTTTTGATGAAAACATTTCAGGATTTTTCTCCATATAATGAATTTAGATAAGACCCTTATTATTATTTGTCTGGTGTCGTTGAATAATGACACCAGACGATGAATAAGATAAGACCTAGATAAGACCCTTATTCATCGTCTGGTGTCGTTTAAAGCCCTTTGAAGCTGCACTGAAACTCTCTTTTGGACCTTGAACCGTTTGGTTCCCAATGAAGTCCATTATATGGAGAAAAATCCTGGAATGTTTTCATCAAAAGCCTTAATTTCTTTTCGAATGAAGAAAGAAAGACATGGACATCTTGGATGACATGGGGGTGAGTAAATTATCAGCAAAAGTTTTTAAAAAGTGAACTACTCCTTTAATATGGCCTCTTTAAAATTCAAAGAACTCTCAGAAAACATTTTCAAGTTCCAGATATAGTAATGGTAATTTCTAAAGTGAGTTTTCTAGTATGCTAAATATTTCATCACCTAGATGCTCTTGTGTGGGTAAAACCATGTTCTTGTGCCCATTTACCCTTGGTCACTTCATGCATTTTCTCTGATAAACTGTAAGTTATCAGGGTTTGTGCAGGTGACTGAAGACGAGGATACAGAACTGCAGTATAGTTGATTGATTTTCAAACTTCACTTAACAGGAACAAACGAAAGTGCCAGGAAACCAGGACACACAAAACCATTTAAAGACGACAACCAACCAACACTGAGGGAAAACACGGGGCTTAAATGATCAGGGACTGATGGGATAATTAACTAAACACAGGTGATGGAAATTGCTAATAAAACAGAGCGGGAAACACTAACAGGACTAAACCAAAAGTCACAATGACAGGGGGAAACAAGATCTCAAAACTGAACTCAAACACATAGAATCGTGACAACTGTTCCATTTAGACGTCATACTGACGCTTTTGACATTTCGTCTACATCCAACGCACAAGACACCCTTTAGAGTCAATATGTGACGCGGATATATATGGGCCAAAAGGCTCCTCCTAATGGTCTAACACTACCCCAGACCTAAACCTACCATAACTGAACAAAGCTCTGTGCGTGTTATATTGACGTTAAATGGTGCCATGTGCGTTGGATTTAGACGAAATGTCAAACGCGTCACTATATGAATGGTAAAGGTGTTGAAGGTGACTGTGTTGAGTTTAATTGTGTATCCGCTTGCTGTGCGTTTGACAGTATCGCTGTCATATCTGGCTAGCAGAAGCTGGTATATCACACTCACACCTTTATTTTTTCCCATTTAGGGCAGAGTAAAATTTACATATGGCTTCAACAACCAAATCCATTGACACGTGTCCAGTTGCGTCTGCGATGCATCTCAAACCACCTCAAACCAGAAATCGGATTGCAATCCTGTGTTTCACATTTTGAATGTGTTTCAGAGGGCATTCACACCTGGTTCTTTCACAAAATGACAGTTATCTGAGAAAACATGTGACGTGCCAAATGTAAATAGGCCTATTCTGTTGAGTTGTCTGTTTTCAATGACTTTTTCCTATTGTTTTTCAATGAAGTCCTTGTGCAGTAAAACCACTGGAAAGGTTGTGAAGTGTGGGAACCCTTTTGTTGGGTAATACAACACTTTCAGGGTGCACAGCTTATTCTCATTATCAGAAATGTCAAGTTGAGAAATCACTTGAACATTAGTCAAAGAAAAACTTTGCGACCCTTTTGAACTTAGCAAGCTTTGTTAACCCCACAATGACATCTGGGTAATATTGATCTATAGTTCCTTAATTACTGCCTGTGTTACACAGAGTGTGAAGGTGAGACGGCAGATTAGGGACAAAGAGATCAGCGCAAATCATGACCTCCTGCTAAACGCCACTTTAAGTGGTATGAGTTGGTATGAGGATTTCAATATCGATATCTAGCAGTCGCTGTAGAGATGAGAAGATATTCGGAGCCTGTCAACAGTTGATAAACGGAGTGTTTTGATTCCTGTCATTAACTTAGGAGATAATAAATGGTGCAGTAGGCTATTGGTATTGATTTGTGTGAGACTATCTGAAGGAATTGCTTCCTTCTGTTTGACTCGCACGATAGAAACTCATCGATTTAGGTGGTGACACCATTTACGAGACCTTTCATTTGAGTGTAATGTTTCCAGACACTTAATTGCATTTTATTTGCAATTAAATGAACATGTATTAAGTTCAAATTCATATTAAAAACTTAATAGAGCTTTTTTGACCCACTTAAATGCGGATTAATTACATCTTTGCATTTGAAATATGGTAAAAGAGATAGTTTCCTCGCTTCAAAGGGTTCATAAAGAGATCGTAATCCTAATCCAAATGAATTGATCGCTTTATGTAGTGAACAGATTGAATTTAGGCTTTTTATACACTTTTAACCTTTTAAGTGCATTGTCAAATGTATTGCATTTATGCAGTAACTAATACACTTTAATGTCATTTTGGTTGAAAATTATGTCATGTATTTAAATTTATAACACATATTTATGATGCTGTTGAAATTTAGTACATGTATTTACTTTAAATGTAATACTGAATAACAAAATACAGTGAAATGTATGTGTTTATATCTGGCAAAAGATCGTATCATCACTTATAGTGGGCGACAACCTCCGTCGCGTCTGCGATGCTTCACAACATCACAACAAAAAGACTAACGTTAGCATGTTTAATTTTTTAACGGTCGTCTACGAAGGTTCCGTCACATGTATGAGTTTGACCAATAGGAGCACAGAAGGTTTTCGTACACAACTTTCAAAAATGGCGAAACAAAAGAGAGACGATGGTGCTAACTAAAAGTAAAAATATATAAGAAAACAATATTTTACCTCAAGTTCTCTTTGGAGGATTGACAGCCAACGTTCTCTTGAGCAATCCAGGAACGTGTCCATTGTCAGGTTTTCTTTCTTTTTTCTTTTCTTCTTTTTTTCTGAACACAGGACAGCCGCTTCATCCACTGTGTGTTTACGTTCGTTTCCGGAAGTCACGCGCTACTAGTTTCGCCTTCTCGATGACATCATGCCCGTCGTTAAAGACAGCATGCGATGACTGTTCTGGAAGCAACGTGTAGTCTGACGTGTTTCTTGTCCAAGGCAGACAAGATTTAAGGAGTCAAAATCGCGTAATCTGACACAGTGAGTATTTTAACATGCAAAAAATAAATAAATAAATAAATAAAAATAAAAAAATTATTGTGTAATCTGAACCAGGCATTATGTGACTCCATTCTTTCTATTTTCTGTTTTATCAACACAAACACTTCCCCCTAATAATGATGTAAAATGCAGGAAATTATAGTAGTTACAATTCATTAAGCCAAATTCCCAAAGAAACATACATTTCATTATGAAGGGGGGAAACCACAGAGGATGCCCTTGCAGTTACTAATGAGAAAGTGCAAGCTTGGTCTGCCAGTCGTCACAGTGACCTGATTTCTTAACAATGCACATGTGAAATTTTTATTTTTTCCTTCTGCCATGTCATTAGTGTGGACATGAAACTAGATTAAATGAAATGAAATGAAATGAAATGTCCCAAGTTGGAAGAACAGAGACTTCTGATCAGGGACTCCTGGAATCAGCCTTTTACTTGCCGCTGTCTTGCATCTAATGAATTATTCAAGCTTGAGCATGTTTCCTGATGCGAGTCCATTTACTAGATTGTTGCTGGGGCGTCCTGAGCCACACCGCTCACACGCCAAGAGCTGAGTTCCCCTGCATGCCCTGTAATGTGCTGCTGGGTAGAGTGAATGAATGCTGAAAAAGCTGCTTGAAACTCTTTCACTGTGTGCAATAGTTTCTGATTCATGATGTCATAAAGGGCCACTTCAGGCAATTACACATGCATTAGCCCACACAGTGCAGGAAACAGCTCTCGCTCGCTCTCAGGGCTCCGGTTACTGCAGTCTCTCTCTTGAAATTGCCGGAATTAACTTTGTTTTAACACGAGTCAGATCCATTTGGAAAACAATTGATCACCTTCAGCCTCTTGCCACTAACAGATGGATTGGCTGAAGTCATTTGCAGTCAACAGTAATAACAAGCCTGTAATATCTAAAGAAGGGGTCTTAAAATATCAGTCCATGGGCCATATCCAACCCCTGAAGGTGAACGTTTAACCGTGAAACTATTTCTATTTTTAATGCACTGCTGCATCTCCAGCCAATTCATTTTTCTCCATTACTTCCTGCACGTAATTGCATCTTAATTACATATATTATAGTTTAAGGTTCAACTAATTGCATTTATTGCATTTACAAATGTAGGTGGTTTTTTTACGCACTTAAAGGGTTAGTTCACCCAAAAATGAAAATTCTGTCAGTATTTACTCTCCTTCATGTTGTTCAAACCCCGTAAAACCTTCGTTCATCTTCAGAACACGAATTAAGATATTTTTGATGAAATCTGAGAGCTGGATCACTCCTCCATACTAGTTCATAGGCTTCTTGAGGGATTGAAACTTGCCGGCCTCGAAAAGTTACTAAAGACATCGTTAAAATAGTCCTTCAGTGGCTCAATCTTAACTTTATCAAACGACGAGAACACTTTTTGTGCGCAAAAAAAAAAAAAAAAAAATAGATAACGACTTTATTTCAACTATTCATTTCCTTCTCTCTCTGGCTTGAGTCAGGTTACTAGTTTAATAGCGTATGATCTGTTGTTGTACGTCAGACGCATCACACACATGACCAGCGTCGGCCAGTGAGCCTACGTGTGACGTAGCTCTACGCAATTACACTAGTTTAAGTGACTATAGAGGCCCAAAGAGAGGGAAGTGAATAGTTGAAATAAAGTCGTTATTTATGTTTGTTTTTGCGCACCAAAAGTATTCTCATCGCTTTTCGAGGCCATCAAGTTTCAATCCCTCAAGAAGCCTATGGACTAGTATGCAGGAGTGATCCAGCTCTCAGATTTCATCAAAAATATCTTAATTCGTGTCTTACAGGGTTGAAACAACATGATGGTGAGTAAATACTGACAGAATTTTCATTTTTGGGTGAACTAGCCACTTCTACTGCTGGATGTACTGGCAAGAATTTATGGTAAATTAAATATACTTTAATGTAATGTTTAGTTGAATTTGCATGTCATGCCTTTAAATATAATTGTTCCAATTTAATACTTAAAATGTATGTGTTATTTAAAAAAAACTTTAAAATGTTATTAAAAAACACTACAGTTACAGAAATGATATATAATCATTACTTGATGTGCTTTAATTAGTAAAACTTTTAAATTGACGTCATTAAAAAGTGCACTTAAGTGGCCTTTTTGTTTCCATTTAATTTATTATGATTCCAGACTTGTATATATTATCTTTTTTTTGTATACTTTTAAGATTTTAAGTATCCAATAGATTTAAGCAGCCTTCTTTTGGCAACGTTCAGGTTTCTAAAAATAGTCACAATGGCCACAACATCCATTAGTCAAAAGTCTTGTGGACGCATATTTTGTATGTGTTTAGTGGCCTTATTTCAGAAACTTTCATTTTTAGTTTTTTCAATAACCACGCCTAAACAATATTCTCTCAAAAATACAAACACGTACATACATGTTGCTCACATATTATGGTAGCCCTGTTTCTGCTGAATATAGTGTAAATTCACCTGTGCCATTAATGGGTTTATAAGCAACTCAAAACATCTCAAAACACCTCAAGGACCCAAATACACCCTAGACCTCAGAGGGTTATACCATGTCAGATTCTAAACAGGCGTACGCACTTTTGCTTATCGGCTATAGAAATAGATTTGACATCTGGAAGAGGGGTGTATGCACGTTTTTGTGCACATGTTAGTTTTCTTTGAATCACGAGTATGATCTTGAGAAATGATCTTAGATCAAATGTAGGATGGTTCCTACAACCTTTTATAAACGAGTCTCCAGGTCTATGAACCTTTGTTATATAAAAAGAGCGGCAGATTCTTCAACAAAAAAAAAAAATCCCCTTTGTGTCGCACAGACGAGAACAAAAGAAGGTTAATGATGACAGAACTTCATTTTTTGGACGAAATTTCCTTTCACAAACACATTTCTTTGTGAGATTAGTATGGGGAGAGAGACGAGGTAATGCTTTTTCTTATCAGCGCTGTCCTGTATTGTAGACCTACTATGAGTCACCAGTACCAACTCAAAACTGGAACTTTCAGTGAAAAGCACATGCAAAATAAAGAGCACAGGAACTTTTGACAAACTATAGAAACAGGGAGAATTTATTTAAAGCACTTTGTCCCCTACATAGAAAAATATGATTGATTTAAGTCAACAATAATAAATAGAGTACCTGTTTTCTTGCAGGCCCCGCTGATGCGTACAGTAGTACAATCATTATCCAGTTTTCGCAACACAGCAAAGGCACGGGTATTTACCGTAAATCTGCAGTCCGATGGAGCGGAAGGGCATGGGGTGAACTCAATATGACCTGGAGGAGCGTTACTTTATAAAGATGGAACACAACATTGCGACAGCAGCCACTGGTACAATAGATCATACAAACTTTCTTGTCAGGTTTCCAATGTTATTTTTTGTTCTCTAAAACTTGAGTGACTGATGTTGAATTGGATTATTACTGACCAGAACGTGACTGACATTTCACACAATAAATATCGCTTTCAATGACAGGACGTGTTTTATATCACTGACGACAAATATTTAGTCCTTTAGAAACGTGGATGCTCGTTTTTTTTCATGGTCCCTTAAGTGGATCTCAATGCAAATGTACACATATAATCATTTATCATATAATCATAGTTGATAATGTCATTTTTGAGTAACAGTATGTAGTGCAAACTTTTAAAAGTGAAGAACGTGATGTGAGCTCAGAGCAAGAAAGTGTCCTGGCATACACTATGACACTGGATGTTTAAGCCGTGTGTTATAAATGCAGCAGTTATAACGCTCTGATCATTTCTCGAACCACACAGAATACTCCCTCGCTCCCCTTATCAAGCATTCAAGCCTCTTTCGCTACAAGCAAATCAGTGTTTCTAAATTAAAAAATAATGATTTCTTTTTTTTTTTACATTGAAAAACATACATAGGCTGACATAGGTCGTCGTTCACGAACCGTTTTGTCTTCGTACAAAAAAAAAAAATACTTTTAAATATTTTAAATAACAAGGAAATTATAAGGCTTAAATGTCCCTCTTGTCTTGATGGCCTCCTCACACTTCAGTCCAGCAGAAGAGTCTTTGGAAAGCTCATTCATTTCTCGTCCTCTTCGGCATCATCGATTTGATCCAGGTCCAAAGCTGCGTAGCGCCATGATGAATCACTAGCCGGGGATCTTTAGTGAAGAAAAAGCCCTGATTGTCAAAAAAGGTCAAGGTCATTTTAGACTATAAGAAAGTGAGTCGTCACAAACGTATGCCGGTGTCCTTTTGCGCTTTTTAGCAGTTGAAATGTTTGGTCGATGTTTTCGCCACCAGTCTGAGATGGTTGTGGTGCTGATGTCATTGGTTTTCACAGTTCTCCGCTGTATGACTTATCAAAAAGAAGATTAAAGCTCTGATTTTAGCAGGGCAGCTTCGTACCTCTTCACACCGTAACACGTAGCAGAGCAGCATGTTGGCTGTTGAGCCTCAAACGACTAGACAAAGCCATTCTCCTGTGTGCTAAAGTTCATTTGAAACAGCTTTCAGATGTTCCTCTGTGCTGTGAGGTACTTGAGGGCGGCAGATCCGTACTTTCGAGAAAGGTCTTGGTGGAACTCGTCCTTCAGAGTTGTCAAGCAGTAGCGGTAACTTGGACTGGAGCGAAACTTTGAGATGTCAAAGCTGGGCGCGTGGGGCATGTGGATCATGAAGGCATTTGGTAACACGATAAGATCATACTCCTTTGGAACAAGGAAATGCGACAGGTTAGGGACACCGGACACTTGAACTGCGGGGAGAAATAGGGCACGTGTTTTGAAAACCTTACCTGAGCATCAAGCTCCATGATATGGGATACTTTGTTCCAGCCAAAGCCAACGAATCTCTGGTCGTACTCAGGACAGTCTCGTCGCACGACGACGTACGGTTCAAAGTCTGCCTCCCATTCCACCTTGTATGGCGTTGTGGCTGTCCTCCATTTGGCGTAATTGGTTGGAGCGTGACCCTTTGTCCAGACATGATACCTACATTTCAGGAAAGTAATACGGCCATGAACTAGTGCTGATGCATGAACTATTCTGGGTGGTCTTTTAAAAAAAAAAAACAGGCCAATGATGTGACACATCATCTTCATACATCATCATCTATAACAGGGATTCCCAGAGTTAAAAAAAAAATATATATATTCGGATGAACCCCATTGATCTAAAAAAAGTACTTGATTTTCAATTAAAATTGAAACAATTGAACAATACATTATCATGTTCATGGATTTGTGGCTGATGGTCACATGACATGCAGGTTAAAAAAAAAGTGTATCATTTTTGGTTGTTTTATTTTATTTATTTTACTTACATTTTAACGATTAGCCGTTCCTGCTATTATCCTAATTTTAATTTCTGAATTAAAATTCATTTTTGGAGTGATACAGTCCCAATATTAAAATCAAGAAAAAAGTCCAATTAAAGAAGCAAGTCAAATCATAAGGTATTTATCATAAGCATTTATTATTATTATTTTTTAAATTCGACACTGATTAAGTGTTCCACTAGATAAGCTTTTTAAAATATTAGATAAGTTGACCTTGAAATGACAAAGCGAAGTTAGACCAGGTTAAAAAATGTCATATGGTATGACTGCCCAAAAACGAGTATTTATTAGTGGTGTCAAACGATTAAAATATTTAATCGCGATTAATTGCATTAATGTCACAGTTAACTCGCGATTAATCGCACATTTTTATCTATTCTAAATGTCTCTTGATTTTTTTTTGTCCGATTATTTTATTATGGAACATGGAAAAGTGGATCGGCTTGCTTTGTGCAAATGTTTTTTATTCAAAACGACATTGGCATATGCTGTGTTCAGTTTCACACCAACATTTTCGCTTGGAGCAAATAATCTCTCACTCAATGTAACACTGTCCATCAATAAAAGGGTGAAAGAAATACTGACGAGGTCCTGATATTGACGAGAGGGCAGAGAATTTGCATCAGCTCTTTGTGTGTGTGCTTGGCCATCATCAAGCGGTATTTCAGACTGGACGTGCTGCGATGATGATAGCTCAGTTCACAACGACAAAACACAGATCATTTTGGTCTTGTCAATGGAACCATTTGGCACGTTTTTTTTAAGTAAACTTTCCATTCAGAATCTTATTGGCATCCATTTCGGGCAAGTCATCCACTCAAAACCTAACGTTAACCAACCATTTGGGCTCGTAATAAAACAAGAATCAACATTGGCTTTTTGGAGATGGTGAGAACTGAGGGATTTTAAATGTAAAAGTGATGCGGAAATGGCGTTTTTATTACTCAAAGGGTGAGTAAGGTATTTTATTGGAGAGATAAATTACCAGATGAAGCTCTCTAACAGAGTTCATAGTAAAGCATTATGTATTGTGAAGGGTCATTTCATTATAGTTGGTGTAGTGCTGTGCTGGAATTTATTTTCAAGTATCGTGTCTAATGGGAATAGGTTTTTCGACCCTAATATTAATTATGAACTTCCTTAAGATGTGATTATTTTGAATGTCCACTGTACCTGAAGGTGTAGAGAGTCCCCATGTCCAGCATAGACAGCAGCTCAGCCTTGGATTTAGGGAAGGAAAGCCGATATCTCAAAGTCTCAAAGGCCGGCACAACCAGAGCCTTCTTGGTATTGGCCATGTCCAGTTGGACTATGCTTTTTCTACATGGAAACAGAAAATTTACAGAAATGTACTTATGATATTAACAGATTATCCCTAACAAATGGACAGCCCTGAGTCTTACCTGAGGTAATCGTAGAGGCCGTACATAGGCAGGAAATCTACGTCAGTCAGAAAAACGTAGGGTGTGTTGACATTGTGGAGCGCCACATTGCGTACCAGATTGACAGGGTAGAACTGACCCTCCTTATAAACGATGTGATAGCCCACGTTCTTGCGGTTTTTGAGGACTTCAGAGGCCTGAGCGTAGCGCAGGAACTGCTGAGCCTCGGCATCAGACATGTAGAGGGCCAAACTAATGGGGCCTTCCCAGTGTTTACAGATCGCCTCCAGCATCTGCAGTCTGTGGACAAATACAAGGTGTCTCTGGTGAAATTTTGGGCAGTTGAGCAAATTTCGGAAGATTAGAGGCTCTTTTTGATACACTTTTTCAAGCCTGCAGGGCAAGCTTTCAGTATTAGCATGGGATGTTCTGATCTTCTCTACGTCAAACAATTCCAGTTGATACTTGTTTCAAACGCAAACAACATTGCTGTGCTGCATAACAATCATCTTTGTGAAGGTGGCAAGACTACTTTATGGGAAAACAGAGGATTCAAGCCTGACTTTGTTTTAAATAGCTCAGTGGCGAGCATTAAAAGATTATTTTCATAACTATTATACATTCAACACATAACCCAATGTGTTAATTTTTCATCAAATTAATCGGTTAATTGAATTAATCATAAATATCAATATGCTATCAATAATTATTATATTTACATTTTTTTTGGTATGCACTGACACTTTTTGACCTTTTTTCTAATATTTTCTTCTATTGTTTACATTTTCATTACATTAACATATGTGACCCTGGACTACAAAACAAGTCACAAGGGTCATTTAAAAAAAAAATAATAATAAATAAGCTTTCCATTAACGTATGTTAGGATATTTGTTATAGGATATTTGGCCAATATATAATATGTGAAATATGTCAGGATATTTGGGCAATACACAACTATTTGAAAATCTAAACATTGAGAAAATAGTATTTTGCTGCATCCACTCACAAAAATGTTTTTTTATATATATATATTTACGGTAGGACATTTACAAAATATCTTCACGGAACATGATCTTTACTAAATATCCTAATGATTTTTGGCATAAAAGAAAAATCAATCATTTTGACCCATACAATTTATTGTTGGCTATTGCCACAAATATCCCCGTGCGACATGTGACTGGTTTTGTGGTCCAGGGTCACATATGTATGGATCAATAACATGAATAATTCATTTTTTTTTAATTTATCAGCAACCCTAATAGTCTCTCTGAAAATAACAGGAGGGTTCAGCATGTTTTGAAGATATTATTAACTTGCAATGCTGCAGTAATCTTTTCTTATTTCAATCAAAGTGTTGCACAGGGTTCATTTAACACGACAATGACACTTTAGTAATTAAATTGCATTGACATGAGTGGCCTGCAGATTCGTTTAGACAGTCTGTCATCCTCACCTGTCCATAGAGAGCTGTGCGACCAGCGTGATGTCCGTGCCATCATCTGTAGGTGTGTATTCATACTGCAGGAAGTACAGATGCACCCTGTGCACCATGATTCGCTCCCTCCGAAAATCATAGCACTGGTCGTCCTCATCCAGCTCCTCTAGTGCTTGCTGAAGCTGAAAGAAATGATAATAAAATGCTTTATCATCTGTGCTGAGGAGGAAACATCAAACAGGCTCTGGTCGTGTTATCCTTTGCAACTTTACAATATTGTTTTTCCATGTTCAAATCCAAGGCTGATGGGGATTCATTACTTATTAAGAATGATCCAGCTTAAGACTATAAAATCCCTTGTTTCAGTTTCTATTAAGTCTTTAGGTTCTCTTAAGATATAAGTATTGCCATCTGCTGCTTTAGGGTGCTAAAGACACGCCCCATCGTTTTAAAACCCAGCCCGCGATCATGCCATGACGAATTTACTATAAATCAGGCTCGGTGTTGCTGTGTGTTCACGGCGTTTCGTAATTATTAAAGGAGTAGTTCACTTTTGAAAAAAACATTTGCTGATAATTTACTCACCCCCATGTAATCCAAGATGTCCATGTCATTCTTTCTTTAGTTGAAAAGAAATTAAGGTTTTTGATGAAAACATTCCAGGATTTTTTTCCATATAATGGACTTCAATGGGAACCAAACTGGTTCAAGGTCCAAAAGACAGTTTCAGTGCAAATTGCAAACTGTTCAAAGGGCTTTAAACGATTCCAGAAGATGAATAAGGGTCTTATCAAGCGAAACGATTGCTCATTTTAAAAAAATAACAAGTTAAAGTTTTATAAGCTCAAATGCTCGCCTTGCTCTGTTCTGTGATGCACGTTTGTGACTCTCCTGTTCGAACTCGTTTATCAAAATGAACACATCTTTTTTGGTTCATTCAATGAACTAAATGAACGAGCTGACTCCGAAAAATTGTGTTATTTTGATGTACAAGTTCGAATAGGAGAGTCACAGAACTGAGCAAGGCGACCATTTGAGCTTATAAAACTTAAACTTTGTTATGTATTTATTAAATTAGCGATAATTTCACTTGATAAGACCCCTATTCATCATCTGGAATCGTTTAAAGCCCTTTGAACACTTTGCAGTTTGCACTGAAACTGTCTTTTGGACCTTAGACCGTTTGGTTCCAATTGAAGTCCATTATATGAAGAAAAATCCTGGAATGTTTTCATCAAAAACATTAATTTCTTTTCGACTGAAGAAAGAAAGACATGGACATCTTGGATGACGTCGGGGTGAGTAAATTATCAGCAAAAGTGTTTTTTAAAAGTGAACTACTCCTTTAAGTATATAAAGCTTGTATGCTTTCGATGTCATACACCGATCGATCTGTAAAATACAATAACAAAATTATAAATGCAACACTTTTGTTTTTGCCCCCATTTTTCATGAGCTAAACTCAAAGATCTAAGACTTTTTCTATGTACACAAAAGGCCTATATCTCTCAAACATTGTAAATCTGTATAAATCTGTGTTAGTGAGCACTTCTCCTTTGCCGAGATAATCCAGCCCGTTCTCATCCCAAGGCATCATATAGTGACGCTTTTGACATTTCGTCTACATCCTACACACATGGCACCCTTTAGCGTCAATATGAGACGCAGATATATATGGGCCAGAAGGTGCCTCCTAGTGGTCTAACCCTAACCCTACACCAGACCTAAATCTACCCATAACCGAACAAACCTCTGTGCGTGTTATATTGATGCTAAAGGGTGCCATGTGCGTTGGATTTAGACGAATTTTCAAAAGTGTCACTATATGATGCCCTAGGATGAGAACGAGTTGTGCTTTTTGTCATTAATAGAATGAATAATACTGCATAACATACAGTACTACTTAAGTAACTCACCACTGTGCTCTCTGAGCTGGCTTGACTAGGACAGCCGAAGAGTTCTCGTCGGAGAAGATTCCCATCGTACTCCAGGAATGTCAAGTAAAGATTACGGAAAAATTCCACATGTTTGTTTTTTACCCTCAGCTTTTTAGGAGAGTTCCAGTGAATGACCTGCAGGAGGAAGTAATAAAACTGAGCAATAAACAACTTCAAAGACATCATTTCCATACTAAAATGGAAGTTTGACAGGAAATGAATGTGACGTTTGGGTGAACATTTGCATTAGACACAATTTGTAAAACAAACACAACAAATTTGCCAATGATTAAAGCAAAGCTCGAACCAGTTACAGGGCCCCTTTTTACTTTGAACAACTCGTTATTCTTAATTCCTCTGGGTCAGTTTGATCGGTTATACCCTGAATACCTAAACATTCACCTAATACAGTTACCTTTAGATCCGACACCTCAGTGTAGCACTGTTCAGAGCGAGTGTGATCCGATAACTGCACGTTCCAGAAGCACGGAAGCTGATGCACCAGAACCGGGTTCTGCTTTATGAATGCGTTGAATATATCCTGTGAAGACGTAAAACAATAACATTTTTGTTGCATTTACAACAATATTCAGCAATGCTTTCATCATCATTTAGACTACTGTATGGGACCTATGAAATATGAAGTGTTTTTGAATTGTTCATGAAGGACATGGACCTGGTCTGCCAGGGATGTTGAAAGCATGCTCATTAGCTCTCTCTCGGCCGTCAGTCTCCACATCTGTTCCCAGCCAATCCTGCGCAGTCTCTCAAGGTAGAGTAAAATCACACCTGCAGCCCAAAAATAGAAACACCTGTTGTCAAATGGACCCCGGTGCAAAATATGCTCCATTTTTTTATACTGAAATGAAATGTGACATAAGCAGTGTGCTCCATTTAGAAGTGATCATCCCTGTGTGCTCATTTCTGCGAAGACTGCTCCCCAAGGCTGCATTTATTTAATAAAAAATAAAGTAAAACGGTAATATTGTGAAATATTATTATAATTTGAAACAACGGTTTACTATTTTAATTATGTTAAAATGTCATTTATTTATGTAATGCAAAGATGAATTTTCAGCATCATTACTCCAGTGTCACATGATTCTTCAGAAATCATTCTAATATGCTGATTCCCTGCTCAAGAAACGCATCTTATGTTGTGCTACTTTATTAGAAAGTTCATGAGAAAGTAACAAATAAATATTCAAATAAATACTGTTCTTTTCATCTTTCTATTCATCAAAGAAATTGCAGCTCTGAACATGAATAATATGTTAAATTATTAATGTTTACATTATTACATTAAAAATAATTAAAAAAACGACCGAGTAACGATGCTGAAAATTCAGCTTTTCAAACATATTTTAAAATGCTTTAAATGAATTGTAATAATATTTCACCTCATGATATGTGTTTTGGAGGAGGCGTGGCTTTTGAGACACTCTGAAAGGGAGGGTGGGATCTCATGCTCTCAAAGCTAGCTAGCTATTGCTAGTCTCTCTGAAATTGCCTACCCTACCTTTAACCAGTTTTCCTCTTCAACTTTTTCATTCATTAGACTCGCAAATCAAAATGATTTGTGTTTGTAAATTAATTCCACTGTCAATAAACAGCTACAAAGACAGCAAACATGATGAGCAGAGTTAAGATGGAAGCTGTTGTTCGTACCTGTGTTAAACCCCCGTCCGAGGGCTGGCCAAGGTTTGTGATTTTTCCACAGATTACCGAGGTACCAATCACTCTGATTCTCCACCAGACCAATCACCTGTTTCTCTGCAATCACAACATCAGGGTTACATCTCCCCGTCTCGCTGCTTTATAGGACCTGTGAAGGAAAGTGACTGATTACCTGTGAACTTCCGGAAGATGGCCCACAGCTCGGCGATGTCAGTGGCGAAGGTGATGTCTGTATCGAGGACGATGACCTTGGAAAGGTTGGATGGCAGAGCTTTGGTGAGAGTGAGCTTCATCAGGCCATAAATTCCTGAATAGTGTTTGTTTGGTATCCACGACACCTCTGACTATTCATAGCAAGAGAAAGAGAGAGAGACATCTGTGAGAAACAAGCAACTTTTTTATCAGCATTTTTATTTTGTTACCGTACCACCCTTTTCACTTTAAATAGTGAGACAAGCAGAAGAAATAATGACTTCAAACAACCTTTTGCTGGAAATACCCTCAAACAAATGTGTGTATCAGTCTCTGGTGTGAAAAAATGGAATCTAAAATGTTGTTCAAATATCTTACAATTAAAAAAAATTATAAACAAAAGATACTTAAAGTCTATAAAGAGGAATGTGAAAACTAATAGAATTATTAAAATAATTATGTTTTCGTTGTTATTTTGGTTGTTGGATCTGTCATTATTGCATCTTTGTTGGTTTTGTTTGTTTCGTATTATGTAAGCAGTAGGGCTGGGTATTGACACAAATTTCACAATTCGATTCGATTTTGATTCACAAGCTTGCAATTCGATTCGATTCGACTCAATATTGATTATTTTGGATATCAGTTAGAATAAATGGCAAATTTTCTCAATGAAATCAAATCTCTTAACTAATGCTGTAAACTATATGGGAGTCTAGTTGTAGCCTACTATGCTTCATTAGCCTTATATGAAGGTAATAATTAACTGTTTTGTAGCTATACAAACACTTAAATTACACTTTTATTTATTTTATAATAAGAAGATTAAATGAAATATAAACATTTAAATGGTGGTTGTCATAAAAACTTTTATTCAATTATGGATTAAATATTGAAGAACATTAAGATTATAATTTAGCAAAATGCTCCTCTCTAGAGTTATTTTTTCCAGCTGACTAATATAACGAGTTTATGTGGGTTTTCTGAGGTAGCCTAAATATGACGATAAATGACATTGATTACAAGCTGTTTAACTGACATCTTTCCACGGTTGAAACACTGATTGAGCGAATCAATGTGACATGATACGGATTTCGATAAGTTGTACACTATCTTTTAACACACTTTCAGATGCTCATTCATGTTTATTTCGCGCTGTGACTGGTATTATTAAGCCGGAAGAGAGATCAGCGCTGCTGCTTTTTTTTTTTTTTCCGGTTCTCATTTTTTTTTTTTTTTTTTTTTTTTTATTAAACGTAAAGAGCATTACAATCACAGAAGCAAAAAATTAAAATAGATAATAAAAAATGTCAAAAAATAATCCACAGTACAGTTAAAGTAAAAAAGAAAAAAAGTAAAATAAATAAATAAATAAAAATAAAAAAATAAAAACATTTAATCACATAAACACATTAAAAGTAGAACAAATAACCACAGTTTTAACAGCTTTTTTGTTTTGCATAGAAGAGATAGTAGAAATATACTGTTCCATTTCAGCTTTTAGCACAGAAAAAAGAGGCTTTTTATTACTGAATTTACACTTATGGATATGGAATTTGGCAACGAATAAGATTAGGTTTAATAGAAAGAGTGCACTACTGTCCTTCCCACAGTTATTAAAGCAACCAAAAATAACATTTTTGTAGTACAGGGAGAACTCAGGAAGAATATTTTCAACTATAAAAGAATTTAAGTCTTTCCAGAACTTATAAGTGAATTCACAAGACCAAAATAAATGTGATATAGTTTCAGGATGTAAACCACAAAAGGAGCATTTTATATCAATGTCATTCTTAAACTTATTTAAGCAAACATTTGTGGGGTAAAACCTGTGTAGTAACTTGAATGAAACTTCTTTAATTTTGTTAGTTAAAAGAAGCTTCTGGGGTAGGGACCAGACTTTTCCCCAGTCTAAGTTAAGGTCAAAATTATTCCAATAGAAGGAAGCAGAAGAAATAGAGACTAGGTCCGCCTGAAACAAAGATCTAATTTTGGAATTTGAAGCTTTATAGGTAGAGAAACAGACTTTACCTAACGGAATCTGTGTTGGATCTGGAGGTGACACTGATAAAGGCGGAGAGATATCACAAGACCTAAATAACATATGAAGACCCGAGGGCACAGCATCAAAAACTATTGAAAATTCTCTTGGGCTTACTGGAATCTTATATTTGGCAAGAAATTCTGAATAACTGAATAGTAGACCATTCTTATTAAAGAGTTGACTGACTAATAAAATACCGTTATTGAACCAATTATCGTAAAAAAGCGACTTGTTCTTATAAACAATATTAGAATTGTTCCATATAAAACACCTCTGTGGAGAGAAGTTATGCTTGTACAGCAAAGCCCACGCCAAAAGAGCTGCTTAGAGCTGAGCCAGAGCGATCTCACGCCACAGCGCCAAAACGCTATTTGTGTTTTTGAATCTCTAAAGAAAATGGACGTAATTTGAAAATTGAGACTTTGTTTAATATCAATAGTAACAAAGGACAAAGATTAATGCGATTTTTTGGATGCGCGCAGCCGCCATTCATTCAAATAAAACAGGATGACTAATCGATTCTTGAGATTTAAGAATCGATATCGGTTCGTAAAAATGAGAATTGATTAATATCGAGAAATCGATATCTATTACTCAGCCCCAGCACCAGCAGAATTAGTATTAATAGATATTATTATTATTATTAATAATAATAATAATAATAGACAAAGAGAGAAAAATCTGTTATAATTGAAGGTAGATTATATCTGGTTTGGGCTAGTCTGTATAGGCTATGTGTAGCCTATATGTAGCTATGTATATATATTATTCCTTTAATTTTTCTGGTGTTTGTCATTTTATGTTGGTGAGGTCATCTAATTTGTGAATCTTGTTTATAGGAATGGGGTAGGAGTTTATAAGATTTTTTTCTTCATCCTACTCCTGTTCTTTTCTGTCATGGAATGTACTGTTGTGTTTGTTGGATTTGTTAAATTGTTCTTGTGGTATTTCGTGTTGCATTACCATGAAAAGAGAATAGAAAATAAATGAAATGAAAATTTTTCAAGTATTTTTCTCATTCATCTTTTACCAAGAGGATTCAAAACCTTCTTTCCTAAAAACTTCAATAACATCAACCAACTCAACCCCGCATGTGTTCACCATCACCAACTAGAGCTCATTGTCTGCTCCATGTTTTCCTCTGAACTAGATTCTGCGGTTATAGCATCATCTGCGCTCGTGGAAATAACCCTCTGCAGTTCTTATTGTGCGCTTCATCTTTTCAGCAAACATCCTTAATGACCTGAGCTCAGGTTTAATAATAATCTGCCGGAGAGGGGTTGATTGAAAAAGACTAGATTTCCTGCAGCTTAGCTTTCATATACTCAGGAGAGCAAAGAGGTCTCTATGCACAGCAGAGACACAGGATGTAAAATCCGCATGATTAGAGACGGCTCCGAGCCAAACAGCTGACAATCAGAGGTGAACTCAGTCCGGGAGGAGAACGAAAGCACAAAACAGGACAAGAAAGGCCGTGTTTGTGTTATTGTGCATACGAGTGTGTGTATCCATTCATGTGAGTGTCCTTGAGAGTGCAGTGTAATGTAAACTAGAATGCGCTCTCCTAGAATATGTGCGCGCATACGTGTGTGAAGAGGAGGCGAGCTCTTTGATTGTCACTTCGCTCTTTCAGCGTACAAAAAAAAAAAATCACAAACAGACAGTGAATAATTCAACGCCACAGCAAAGGCAGCGCTCGCATGCCAAGTCGTGGAAAAAAAAAAATCACACTGTCAGTTTAAATATATGAACAGAAATGAATAATTCTATGCTTTCGACTCCCTCTGGAGCGTGCAAGAGTTCTCAGAGAGTGAAAGCTCTGGAGATCGCTGGAGTGTAAACAACAAGCTCAATGTTTCCACTATCACAGACATGCCGTACCGTCCCAAGGGGACCTTTGCCCCTCATTACAATCCATAAGCACATGTGACATGTATTTCATTCCAGTTGTTTGTGCCTGAATGAGCTCATGGAGGATTGCGATCAGCATAATTCTCCAGACTTGTCATTCGCCGCCTGCTTCGTTTTCAAAACTATCGCTACTCACGACCTCCCATTAAGTCTCTATACTGATGCTCTGTGCATGGTCATTATCTCTGGGTCAAAGGGCAGGGGTGTCATGGCAACAGGTACTTACTTTGAGTTCATCGGCGTCATAGAAGCTGACTTGTACGGACGGTACCATCCATGACTGGAACAGAGTGCTGAGGATCTGATTGGCCACTGTGTCAGTGATGAAATGAAAGTGCAGTGGGTTTCTCCTGAAAAGGGAGATGTTGATATGTTACGTTTTATTTCAATGCATAAGGTAAATCAGAGACAATTTATATAGAGATATGCCACTTCCTCAATCCTCAATCCTCAATACAACTATATAGGGAATACCCATAACGCCAAAGATGGCCGTTGTATGCACATGCCCCGCCCCTCCCACTGGAAAGCCAATCGTCTGCTTTTAAAAGTCAAGTCTGGTTCCACTGCGACAGTGGAGACTTGAACCCTTGCGCATGCGTAGTAAACGTATAACCTGTGGGGAAAAGACCTTCTAACCCTTTTCCTGTCACGCCCCTTTTTGAAAATGGGGGTTAAAATGCACTATTCAAACTTAAATGGTTGTAATTCAAGAATGCTTTGGAATATATATCAAGTTTGGTCTTGTTTTAAAGAAAACAATCAGCAGAGTGCTTCAAAAAAATGAAAGTATGAAAAAGTTATGCAAGTTTAAATTTACAGTAAATCAAATATACTGTACTGTGTATTTATTATTTGATATAAAATATATATTTTTACAAAATAGTTTTTACTCTAAAATTACTATAAAATCAAAGGCATAAATCTAACCAAGTTATGTTCCAAATTTGAAGTTGATATCACAAAATTTAAGTTGAGGTTTTATTGAGATTCCTTAGACTCATGAGATTTTAGCCACTGGGTGCCATTGAATTCCATTGAATTTAGTTACGTTCTGCCTTAAAAAATTAATACATTTCTGTCCAAATATCAATTCTGTCACAAACTTGAGACAGACCTTTCTGACAATGTGTTTTTTGTCAAGATTAGAAAAGGTTTTGATCATAAATTTTGAAATATAACGATGCCCAAAGGGGCGGAGCCTGATAAAATAATTTAGAGGACCATTTCTATGGTAACGCAATATTCAATAATAAAACGGTTTTCTCTGGAATTCTGAGTTTGTAAGCTTTCAAATGCTAACTAATTTATGATAACTACTAAAATATGTGATAATTTTTTTGAGGTGCACTTTTGTCAAAAAAAAAAAAAATCATCGGTTACTCTTCTTACATAATTTGTAGCAAAAAACAGCCTTTCCAAACCTTTCCAACAATATGTCATGACTAGATTAGGATTTAATAGTAATATAGTGAAGTAAATTTAGGTTGCCCGTATACGGGCAGGTGACAGGTAAGGGGTTAAACCTTATTTTGCAAAGTCATGAAACTTTTTCAGCTATTTTTATCATATTTTACTGCTGTTTCTATACAAGCTGTTTTTATGTCCAGTGAAAGTGCAGTTCTGAATCTCTGCCCATTCATTTAGATGGCGTTGCCAAGATGGTGGCCGAGTGGCACGACTTGCCTAAAAGGGCTTTGGGTAAAGTCTATATTTTAGGTGCTGTAAATGGTCACCATTTACTTTTTTTTTTTTAAGTTTTCACCATTTTTTATGATATTTTGACTGGTTTCACAACTTTATTTTGAATAATTAGCAACACTTTATTTTGATTGTCTCTTTTGAACATTCCGTTGACTATAAGTAACTTTGCAACTACGTGTCAGCTAATTCTCATTAGTTTATTAGTCTGCTTAACATCAGATATCTCTTCATTTTGAATTTTGAATGTCCTCCAAAAGACATTCTGACTATAATTGACTTTGCAAACCACATGTCAACTTCCCAGAACCCTACCAGTCTACTAATACTCTACTAACACTCTAATGAGAATTAGTAGACTCACAATGTGTTAAAAGTGAAACCGAATGATCCTGTGGTGTGACAATATATGAACTTTACAGACAAAATATGTGTACTTCCAACACGTTCTCATCCTAGGGCGTCATATAGTGACACTTTTGAAATTTCGTCTAAATCCAACGCACATGGCGCCCTTTAGCGTCAATATAATACTTCGGTTATGGGTAGGTTTAGGTCTGGGGTAGGTTTAGGGTTAGACCACTAGGAGGCGCCTTGTATATCTGTGTCTCATATTGACGTTAAAGGGTGCCGTGTGCGTTGGATGTAGACGAAATGTCAAAAGCGTCAGTAAATGACGCCTTGGGATGAGAACGGGCTGGTACTTCACAGAATTTATGACTTAAACAAGTAAACTGTGACATTTAATTTCAGGCCAACTGAATACATGTTAAATAAAATGATAAAATCTATAGGAGAATAGCTGTTCTTTAATACTGCATATGCACAACATTACCACAAAATATACCACCATATTGCTATTTATTTACAATTAATATCACTGTCCTTGTTTCTTACCTGTGGAACAGGATGGATTTGACCAGAGTGACCACGTCCCGACTGGCGTTGTGACCCGCACATACACATGCCACGTGAATCAGCTGTGTGTAGAGAGAAGAGCCAACGTTTCAGATTGGATTGAAGAATTTCAGCTTTGTTAAAGTATTCTTGAGATGCGTTATGTGTAGACTTTAAACAGCTTCTAATATGCGTTAGCCCCTCTAGAAAGAATCTGGACACGTACACTGTAAAAAAATAATGTTGGTTTAACTTAAAAAATTAAGTAACCTGTTTGCCTTAAAATTTTAAGTTGATTAAACTGGAAAAAGTGAGTTAATACAATGAAGGAGATTGATTTAATCATCAGAAACTCAAAATAATAAGTTATCTCAACTAAATAAATTATTTAAGTTGATTTGACAAAAGAAAAAATGTTGTGATAACAAATCTTGAAAATATATTTTTTTTTTACAGTGTATGCCACACTATAAACTGCAATAAATACAAAATATCACATGGAATCTGACAACATGAACTAACTAACCAATTGGTGTTGAGGAGATATTTAATTCGATATATCAAATATCTTTATTTAGGAACATATTTGAACTTGTCAAACTTGCATTTGCTTGAAAAGCTTGGAAATTATATTTTGTTTTTGTCTCACACAAGTGTCGAAATACTTTTTGGGGCCGCCGTATGTTCCTTTATTTATTCTCACATCTGACAGGATGTAATATGCCATCTAACCTCACACTTCTCGGCGGTGGGCGAGCGAGAACACTCGCTGTGATTGGCCCGTTCCTCTGCTGTGTTCTCCACGTCCTCTGGACCGGTGTCTGCCGATGCCACCCACTGCTGGTTGCCATAGTTACCCTCGGCAGGCTGGGCGGCCAGGCCCTGCGATTGGCTCAGCTGGAGTCGGATCTGCCGGTTCTCTTCCTCCACCTCTCGAACCCGCGAAGCCAGGACATCCCGTTCCAGCAGCCGTGCTTCTGTGGACTCCACCAAGCATGCGGAGAGGAGCAGGGAACGCCCGTCTGATACGGCACAACAGATTTCATTTCATTCGAGTGATCTTGACAGATTACGCCCCAGAGATAGATGGATGAGAGGTAAGGAAATAGGAAGCTTGAGGTGAATTTGCAGAGAGACACTATACGTGAATGTCATTCAGATTTAAGACAGACTCCGAGAGTATCTCAATCTACACATTGCTCTCCGCTGGAATGATTAAAGTAGCACTAAATTGGATGTGATCAGGGAGAACAAAGTAACAGGCATTGAATTTATCAGAACAATTTGATGGATTTTCTTGCATCGCGCTCATGTACAAGCGAGTGCAGATCACTCATCCCTGTTAACCAGAGTTGGGTCTTACTTAGTGTAACCATGTCATCTTTCATCCATTATCCATTAGCGTTCACGTTCATCTCAGGCAGTTGGGCACAGAAAACCTGGAAGTATGTGCAGTTTGCTCAGTTCTGCAACCAGGTTGTTTTGAGCCAATCACCTGAGCCGTAAATGGCATGTGATTAATGACTCTAGAGCCGCAGGAAAGTGATTGACGGACAACACCACAATAACACACAAAGTCGTTTCACAACCATGAGCTGTGATGTCAAAAGTCCATTTCATGCTTTTATGAGCACTCCAATAACTACAGTATATAATCCATCATTATAAGGTTATTACACGAATCCCTCTTATTAAAATAATGTATTTCAAAAACATGGAAAATGGCAGGAAGTGAACTCTGCAAGTAAATAAATCCTTTTTAAAATGTCAACCCTGTTACAAAGAGTTTGTTTTGTACATTGATCATTTAAAAGGATTATATATATTTTTTTTATATCAATATAAATTTCATCTTTCAAAAAGCACCATGAGGTGCAGCAGTTGTCAGCCTTTTGGCTCAAATGCTCCCCAACACAATATTTGACATAATATTGATGTATATTAAATGAATGCACCTCGATTTATTTTGAAAAACAACATTGGCTTTTTGGAGATGACGGGAACTAAGGGTTTGGAGATGTTGTAAAAGTTGTTTTTATTACTCAACAGGTGAGTACGGTATTTTATTGAACAGATAATGTGAAGGTTCATATTCATTCGAACAGTCACGCAGATCCGAAGCACAACCAAAACAATGTTCATCCACAAAATACATGCAGTTTTGTTTTTTAACCACTAGAGGGCCAAAAGTTACATAGCGTATACATTTAAATATTTAAAGTTCCCTGTTATAGCGTAAAGGTGCCAATTTTGAATGAAAATAAAACTTTAAATTAGTGATAGGCGGTAATGATACTGTAGTGATACAGTAGTGATTAGTAATGATACTGTAGTGATACAGTATCATTACTAACGTTGAGAATCGAAAGTATCGATACTCAAATAAAAAGAAATCGATAATACAGGGGGTTTTTTTATCCAGTGATTTTGTTTATTTGACAAGAATTCTAATGCTCAAAATTCCAATATGCATTGAATTGGATGAATAACCTATGTTAGTGAATAATTGTGTAGTAGAACCACTTCCCTGCTTATCTGAACTGAACACAAATGCTGCAAGTCAGAACCAATCAATCGCAGAGATTCAAACAATGCTTATTAGAAGACAGAAAAAATATGTTTGAGCTAATTGACAATAAACAAATTGTAGCCTACAGTGTGCAATAAAACTGTAATGTTAAAAGTTCATACTGATGTTCTATTCTGTAACTAATTTTAATATAAATCATTAATTGTCAGAATAAAAAGGTTACATTTTAATGGTGCATCAGCCTGTCACTGCTGGTAGTCCCTTATGAAAATGTACATTACAGTGACCGACCATAGTTCAAATAGGCCTACAGTATAATATTTTGTAGATTGCCATGGATACCACAAGTAAACATTTTAACTATGCGTACATAAAAATATAATTTAATATATTCAAATTAAGGCATATTGAATGCTAAAATGGCTTTCTATAATGTTTAATGGGTATCATTACCCATTTTAATCTTAGTAATTCAATAATTTATGAAATTTTCAGTTTAGAAGTATCGGTACTGGTATCGGTATCAACGATACTGGCCTTGAAAATATCGGTATCGTATCGAAAACTAAATAAGTGGTATCGCTCATCACTACTTTAAATAATACCTGTCAACACTCCCCTTTTTCATGAGTTTCTCCCGTTTTTTATGAGTTTCATGAGTTTGACCCTTGCATGGACCAAAAAACTCCTTAAAGGGATAGTCCACTTTTTTTGGAAATAGGCTCATTTTACAACTCCCCGAGAGTTAAACAGTTGAGTTTTACCGTTTTCGAATCCATTCAGCTGATTTTCTGATATTTAGAAGAATATCAGTAACCAGACAGTTTCTGGTCTCATTGACTTCTATAGTAGGAAAAAAATATACTATGGAAGTCAATGAGACCAGAAACTGTCTGGTTACTGATATTCTTCGGACCAATATGTTTGTCTAATGTTGACCAGTTGCCAGATCTTGTATTAAATCATTATATTCCCAAAATCCACACACCATATACAATTTCAACCCGTTTGTCATCTCAACCTGGCAGCCTATACCCCAGTTGCGCAGTCGAGAAAAGTCGCGGCCTCCTCTAACGCCCCCCGCACAAATCTCCCGGATTTTGAAAACCAAATGTTGACAGCTCTGCTTTAAATGAAAATGTGCTTTCTTAATATATTTCAGAAGTAGTGCTTATTGTACCACTTTGAAAAGTACCACTTTTGTACAGGCCATGTTTTATTGTGAATATAGTCACAGCTGAAAGGGGCCTCAGGCACTCATACTTCACTGCTTAAATATTAATTCAACTTGATATGGAACAATTCAGTGCAATTTATTGACACTTAAAGGCATTTTTCAAAAGAATGTTAAAAATCGTTTCAAAGAATGACCCACAAAATGGTGCAGAAATACATCTCTGCCGGGGTTTTTTTAAACTCTTTCAGCCTTATGAATACTGACGTTTTGATAATCTCCCTTTCTGTGGACCGCATAAGCCAATGTGTGCATACGTGGGATCTTTCTCATGATCGCAGATAGATATAGATATGTTCATGTGCCAGATCGAGAGCAAGAGAACGAGCTTTTATAATGATTGGCTTTCTGAGATCTGGCCGCAGATCACTTCTGTTATCAGACTCTGCAGTGTTATTGTGCATCTCTAAGGATGACAGACCCATCAGATGAGGATTTTAGCACACAGGCTGAGATAAGACAGTCTCAACACCCAATTCAACCCAGCTTATAAAATGGGCTTCTTCTTTCCAGAAATCGGAAGATCTGATGATAAGTGCTTTTATACTCACTTTCCGAGTTCCCCACGAGCAGGTAAAGCCAGGTGAACAGGATGACGAAACTCAGAGACACCACCAGCAACTTCAGCTTCCCTCGGCAGGGGCAGAGCATTCTGGGATTGTGGAGGACTGGGCGGATGGAGAGATCAGGTTGGGCTTATTCTCACACTGGTCTCCTGCAGCATCCTTTCTTCTGGAGGAAAGAGAGAACGAAAGAGGTCATTTGTTAGTAATGCACAGGCCCACGACAGAATCCGACCGATAGAGCTCAAAACATCCGCTGCCCCTTGCATGTTGGTCTCTTCATTTTTAGGAGTATCATGCATCCACTATACCTGACAGATATCACTGACATAGGCGTACGTGACAGCTCTAGACGTGGCAGAGGGCCAATGTGTTAGCTAAGAAAGCCTGTCAGTCATTTTTTAGGTTATATTATATTTGTTCTCACAAAAATTGCAGGTGACAGGCTTAGCTACTAGCTATTTTGAGGATAACTTTGTACTTTAACCACAAATGAAAATTCTGGGTAACACTTGTGCATAAGACTGACATGACACCTTCATAATCACGACATGACACAAGTTTTATGCATGTTTGTGACAACTGTCATTAAGTGTCATTCGCTCAATTATGACATTTTTAATGCAAATATGATATTGTTTGAGATGTCTTTGTTATGACACCTTGACATTACCAAGACAACACAACCTGTCATAAACATGACATAGCAGATTAATGATCAAACTTAAGAAAGCACTTAGCTTTATTGGTTAACATTACATTAAACTGTCATGCGGTTGGTGTTACCGAATATATTTTTAATGAAATATTATTATATATATATAAAACGTAGCATATGTAAGCTCTCTATCCATGTGAGTTGATCAATATTTAAATGTGCATTAAGTCTAAATGCAATCTGTTCATTATATAAAGAGACTGTGCCTCTTCAGAAAACTTGGGCTGTGTCCGAAATCATACTGGATGTTATCGAGTGCATTAATTCATCGCAAAAATGAGTGTACAACCGTATGCTCTGCATCTAAAGAATACCCATAATGCAGTGTGACGGTCGTGCGTCGAATGAATTTCCGCATCTGACTAGAAGATGGCGCCCGCTGCTGAATCATCCATCCATCCATTTTACAACCCGTTAGTCCAATGTGGGTACAGCGTAATATCACACAGGTACAAATTCCCTTTTAATTGATTATCAAATTGTTTAGAAAGGTTTACACATGCTAGTTTCCATGACAGAGTTCAAGATTCATCTTTTAATTTTAATTTTAGTGGAGTAATGTAGGGAATAGAACGAGGGTATGGGGGCGATTTGGAACACAGCCGTTTGATTCGTATTGATTTATTTTTGTATTGATTAAAGGAGTTGTTCACTTAAAAAAAAACAAAAAAAAAACTTTTGCTGATAATTTACTCACCCCCGTGTCATCCAAGATGTCCATGTCTTTCTTTCTTCATTCGGAAAGAAATTAAGGTTTTTGATGAAAACATTCCAGGATTTTCTTCATATAATGGACTTCATTGGGAACCAAACGGTTCAAGGTCTAAATGAGAGTTTCAGTGCAGCTTCAAAGGGCTTTAAACGACACCAGACGATGAATAAGGGTCTTATAAAGGACCCTTCGAGTCATGACTCGAAAAAAGATTTGTTCATTTTGATGAATGAGTTTGAACAGGAGAGTCACAAACGCGCATCACAGAACAGAGCAAGACGAGCATTTGTGCATATAAAACTTAAACTTTGTTATTTATTAATTAAATGAGCAATCGTTTCACTTGATAAGACCCTTATTCATCGTCTGGTGTCGTTTAAAGCCCTTTGAAGCTGCACTGAAACTCTCATTTGGACCTTGAACCGTTTGGTTCCCAATGAAGTCCATTATATGGAGAAAATCCTGGAATGTTTTCATCAAAAACCTTAATTTCTTTTCGACTGAAGAAAGAAAGACATGGACATCTTGGATGACATGGGGGTGAGTAAATTATCAGCAAAAGTTTTTTGAAAAGTGAACTACTCCTTTAAGTTTTGTGTGTATAGACTTTCAATTGAGGGACATTAAAACACCTTCATTTGTGTTTTGAAGATGATTGAAAGTTGGTTTGGAACGACATGAGAGTGAGTAATATATGACACAACTTAAATTTCTGGGCAAACGACCATATACACATCACAGAGCTGTTGCATCGCGTTGCATGTGTCTCCGCCAAAAAGTTGCCCTTGCAATGACTATAGCCACCGGCCAACCAGCACGCACAGTCATTACTTTGCTTTTCTTCTCGTGCACTGGTTCGTTAAGCTGAACAGTCAATAAGAGTGATCTTTCTCATTGTCATCAGTCTGCCCAACACAGATTCAACATGCTCCATCAGCTAAAACGCCACAGACGAGGTCTGACTGGTGCCGACGGTGCGGAACACACCGTAAAAACTGATCTGACGGATGCTCAACCACCGCCCGATGTTGACCGACAGGCTTTTCCGTAAAGTAATGCAAATTCTCATAATATGATGTTCACCCTCAATGATTCAATAGCCTTCACATATGTGAGCAGATTTCAGTTTATCCTTGATTTAGAACAATGTTTGGTTAGCAGAGTTGCAGTATTTACACTTATACTACACTAAATAAATCTATTTATAATCTATTTACACTAAATAAATCTATGAATGGCATGTTAATAGTTGTCTCTTCATATTACAGTAGGTGAGAAAAAAATAGTACACTGCACCTTTAAATACTTAGGTTCATGAACTACCAATAAAAGTGTAATACTTTCAGCACATTGTATCAAAAACATTCCACAGAATCTGTTCCCAAAAATCAGTGCAGACAATCTGATTACATCACAGGAATGACAAATATATATTGCATCTAGCCGCCATATAAAAGTGCCAGTGTGGCAGATATTGGTATAATAATAAATATCGATCCGATGTTGTTTTCCCTCCTCGTTCAGCATTGTGTCTGCATTAAAAGCATGACAGGCGTCCGGCCTCACTAAACTCCTGGCTTTTGGCATTTCCAGACTAACTGTCTGAAAGCCTCTCTCCAAGCCACTTTACGGCACGCATTCATGTGTGTGTTCACGCCACGTGGGCTACACGACAGCCATTGTTGTTTACACCACTCTTAATTAAAGATCGAGCCGTGGGAGGCTCTCCATCACCCCGGCAGACGCAGATTAACGACAGAAAAAAGAGAAAGAGGGAGATGGATTGGGAGAAAGGAGAACTGTAAGAGAGACAAAATCGTCTTTGTTTTATTATGAGCTTAATTAATCATGCTTCTGTATAATTAGACATATGCCTGTAGGAAACTAGATTGGATGCTGACAGTAAAATAAATAAATAAATACATACATAAATAAATAAATAATTTAGAGATATAATATAATATAATATAAAATGATATAATATAAGGTCAGATAGAGACTGACAGACAGACATATGTATGTATGTATGGATGTATGGATGGATGGATGGATAGATCTTTCAAGGAAAAAAGCTTTTGCTCTGGTTTTCTGAATTAACGAGTTAATTATCTCAGAATTACAAGATAATTTTTCAAGGAAAAAAGTTTTTGCTCTGTTTTTCTGAATTAACGAGTTAATTATCTCAGAATTACGAGATAATCTTCCAAGGAAAAAAGCTTTTGCTCTGTTTTTCTGAATTAACGATTTAATTATCTCAGAATTACGAGATCGTTTTTCATGGAAAAAAGTTTTTGCTCTGTTTTTCTGAATTAACGAGTTAATTATCTCAGAATTACAAGACAATCTTTCAAGGAAAAAAGCTTTTGCTCTGGTTTTCTGAATTAACGAGTTAATTATCTCAGAATTACAAGATAATTTTTCAAGGAAAAAAGTTTTTGCTCTGTTTTTCTGAATTAACGAGTTAATTATCTCAGAATTACGAGATAATCTTTCAAGGAAAAAAAGCTTTTGCTCTGTTTTTCTGAATTAACGAGTTAATTATCTCAGAATTACGAGATCGTTTTTCATGGAAAAAAGTTTTTGCTCTGTTTTCTGAATTAACGAGTTAATTATCTCAGAATTACGAGATAATCTTTCAAGGAAAAAAGCTTTTGCTCTGGTTTTCTGAATTAACGAGTTAATTATCTCAGAATTACGAGATAATCTTTCAAGGAAAAAAGCTTTTGCTCTGGTTTTCTGAATTAACGAGTTAATTATCTCAGAATTACGAGATAATCTTTCAAGGAAAAAAAGCTTTTGCTCTGTTTTTCTGAATTAACGAGTTAATTATCTCAGAATTACGAGATCGTTTTTCATGGAAAAAAGTTTTTGCTCTGTTTTCTGAATTAACGAGTTAATTATCTCAGAATTACGAGAAAATCTTTCATGGAAAAAGTTTTTGCTCTGGTTTTCTGAATTAACAAGTTAATTATCTCAGAATTACGAGATAATCTTTCAAGGAAAAAAGCTTTTGCTCTGGTTTTCTGAATTAACGAGTTAATTATCTCAGAATTACGAGATCATTTTCATGGAAAAAAAACGTTTTGCTCTGTTTTTTTCTGAATTAAGGAGTTAATTTTCTCAGAAATACAAGATAATTTTTCAAGGAAAAAAGTGTTTGCTCTGTTTTTCTGAATTAACGAGTTAATTATCTCAGAATTACGAAATAATTTTTCATGGGAAAAAGTTTTTCCTCTGTTTTCTGAATTAACATGTTAATTATCTCAGAATTATGAGATATATTTTTCTTGAAAAAAATGTCACTCTTTTTTTTAGATAATCAAGTCATTAATTCAGAAAAACAGAGCAAAAACTTTTTTCCATGAAAAATTATCTCACAATTCTGAGATAATTAACTCGTTAATTCAGAAAAACAGAGTAGATTTTGTTTCCTCAAGTGAATGCAATATGCTTCCGTAATAATGCATTAGGAATACCCATATAAATTATTTTAAATACAGACTTCATAGAAAGTGTTACTAAAAGTTTTAGCTTGTAAATGTAACTCTCTCTATATAAAGAAGTCTTTCTTCTGTTGGAAAACAGACCAAAAATAAAGTTGACTCACCCTGAATTAGGAGTGTTAGATAAGAGAGACATATGAAATGTGCAGAGCCGTGTGGAGCCAGCACAGGGAACGAGAACCACTGCTTTGGTGAAAAGTTCAGACAAATGGATTTGTCAAATTATGCAAAGTGAA